CCGCCACACGCGTATTAATGTCACATGTTGCAAGTACAATAATGCAAGTTTCGGGCCATCAATGCTGTCATACACATACACTACATCTACAACTTGTGTTCTGGAATTAAATCGTTCAGATTGTTTATCATAGCGGCAGAGCCTCATTTTGTGTACATACGCGCATCATTGCTTACTGTAATGACTTCATTTACTGATTGAACTTCTTTATCTTTTATCTGTTTCAACAAGTGAAAATGTATTTTTAATTATTAATGTATTAATTTAATTGCTCAAGACATGGTGACAATGAGAGGTCGTCCTCGCCGCAAACAATTAGCAGTGTCAATGTAGACTGCGACTGCACAGGTCTATTGTAATTGAGTGATACGAAGTGTGCCTCACAACACGGATCGCCGCCGCATCCAAACCTATGTTCTTTACATTTCTTTGCTACAACTTAACTACAATACATACCCTACAACATTTAATGTCAAAATGGAAATTATATGGACTAAGAGTAATATCTAAAGATATAACAATGTTGCACTAAAAGAGCAACTAGCAATTCAATAACACTGTTATGTTATGATTAATTATACAAGCGGTGATCATGACACAGTGGTCCAACACGTAATCACATCTCTGTTATAAAACATATATACCTGTCGCCACATCGTAATGAGAAAAAATGAAGTAGATATCTCTAACAGGGTGTCAGGAAATAACGTGATAGTACAACAATGTAATGCCACGGATTGCGGCTAACACTAAACTGTCATCATTTGAATCCCTCTCACTCTGACTGACTGTGACTACACACCGTCGCCATATTGTTTAATTGTCATTAATTAAAACACAGAGCTGAAAGCGGATAAAATCATGACGCACTATGACTCATTCGGTCTTCTTCAGTCAAATCTTAGCAAATATAGTAAGATTTTAGTAGACAAAAAATTCCAAATCGCTACAAAAATATTAAAAAGTATATCCTCAGTGTACAAGGTAAGAAGTTTGTGTTTGCGACCGTAAATGTCACTAACGAACTAAATCTGCTGCTACTCTGCTGCTGCTTCTTACTCGAAATAATGTCGACGAGAATAGAATTTTGTGAAGGAAATATTTAGATGCAGTGTACCATCTGCTCGTGTAGTGGACGTACCGGTATCGAGGTCTAGGTGTAGGGCGGCGTTGCGCGCGGCCGCAGTGGACACATCGTGCTCCACGAAGTACTCCTCATAGCGCACCTCCAGCAAGCCCGCAGCCTGCCCGCCTGTCTCCTGCCCTTCAGCCTTCTCGCCCACCTCGTCACCCGCCGTGCTGTCAACAGGCTCGGCAGCCACGCCGCTGTTATTCCGACCGCCCGTTCCCACTGGGCGCGCCGCCGCTGCGTGACGCACCTGCACACCATTCACACGTATTATATACAAACATTAAATAATGCAAAAAATACATATTTATGCCATTTCATGAACCTATTGATACCTTGATTGAGTCCTTACTTTATTGAAATAAAAGCGAAAAGAAAAGAGGCAGAATAGATTACCTGCAGGATTTTAAGGAAAGAAATATAGCTAACACATTGAAAACATAAAGTACCGTCTCAGCTTATTTTGAAAGCTAACTGAGGGAGTAAAAGAAATAAGGAGAGAGAGAGACAGAGAGAGCGAATGAGAGAACTTACACAGTTGGTGAGAGACAGGATTAGGTAGGTTGATTGATCTAAACACAAGTTACCAGTACTTCAGGTACCCGAAAGACGAGGTCGGCAGCGGCAGCGCGCGTCAGCACCGCCAGCAGAGCAGCCAGCGCCGCCGCGAGCCCGCGCCGCATCGCACCCCGCACACGCCCCGCACGCACCCCGCACGTACTTCGCTCGCACCGTCCTAATTTCTTTGATTATTCTACAATAAAAACCAATCATGAAGTCAGATCAAAATAAAAACCAATAACATAAAACAAAAGACAATAAGAGATTTCAAGAATAGCAAAGCCGAAAACATAACGAAAACATGGTTCAAGAAATAAGCGACATCGATTAAGTGAAGACAGTGTCCACTTTCAAAAACAAACTTCAACGTCCTGAGACATCCGTGTTATTTTGTGTCCAAACAATGTTGTAATTAGAAGCGAGAGACAGGTCAGGTGGCAAGTCACGATGACTTCCGCGCGGCAATTGTTTTCACCTGCTGCCGCTGCCGCAGACATCGCCTGGCGCTGCTCGCTCCTCTATATAACTAGAAATGCTCACTGAATTGGCCAAATGACATTCCATGGCGTGTCATGGCGTTCCGCGAATGAATGCCACATGTTATATGCTCGGGTGTGGCCAAACTGTTGGCGATTGAAAAAAATATCTTAATTTGCATTCAGTTACGTCTAGGCTTTCTGTATTAGTCGTTCCAACGTCTTGCTTGTAAGCTTTAAATCATTAAAGGTTGGCACACCTGGTAACGATGGCTAGTCCACTTTAGCTTCAAATGCAAGCCATATGGCCTCAAACTGACATTTATTATTTTAATCAGAAGTTTGTCACGATAACTCACTGATACAATTATATTACTGTTATTACATAAAAAAATATTAGTAATACAAATATAATATGGTTATTTTTATTCGAGCGAGCAGCCCGCGAGCTACATGGCCACACGGCGCCGGTGCAATTGTTGATGCAGCTCACGGCCATGGCGGACGGCACGGCGCAGTGCGAGGACTACTGCATAGGTACTCGGTAGCCACTGCTTACTGCTCAATGCTCACTGCCAACCTCTGCCAGCAACGTTGCAGCAGTAGGTACTGCAGCAATACGTTCTCAATGTTCAAATAATGCCAGTCGCGTGGCAGCCGACGGTTGTACAATAGTTCAATTAGTACATTTTAATTTGGTTAGTCACATTCGGTCAATAGAATCGGCCTTCTTCGGGTTTGTAAGCAAAGCTCTCTGACATCACTTCCCGGCTTCTGTATTTTTTTACTCGTGTGTCTTCTTTTACATAAATAACATAAGACAATTATTAGAGTAGGGACAGTCGACCTACTCTAATTAATATTCTCATGGTGTCCTCTCACTCGATGGTGTCCCAGTTACAGGCGCGCGGGCAACGGGCAGCGGGCGCGAGGGGGGAGGGAAGCGGCAGGCAGCACTATCTTCTGTTTAGTTTATCTACAATTGCCTCACTGTTGCTAGGAACTTACCTTTTACACCAAAGATCATTCCTGTTTATTGTGACACATAAAATAATATTTCGAACATGTGACGAGTAGAAACACGTAAAAAGGTACAGTCAGAAGAACTAACTGTATCAATATAAGTTTGGCAAAAGCCGTTCACCGGCGCGCACGCCCCGTCCGTAACTGTCACCATATTTCAAGCGTAATGCTAACATTTAGTTGGTGGCGCTTTGTTCTGCAACCTTGTGGCTTTCGGCCACTTCTTTCAAGTGATCTGTTGTTACCTCGCCACCGTCGACGATGTTCAAAGCCGAGCCAATTCAATGACAGCTACTGTACGCCGCATTACAATGTAATTTACGATGGCTCAGTTCACGCACTGTTTAGATCTCGTTCTATTCCACAGTGAATTGTTTTGTATCGTTAGACACTGTGTACTGTGCACAGATACTTACAACCTGCGTGAACTAACACTCCAACCAATACTACTACTAGTTACCTGCGACTTTGTCCGTGAAAATGTTATTTATCGTAAATAAACTTACATACATGCTATACATGCGTGTGTCGTGTGGACTGCGGTTTGTCCAGGCCAGGTGATATGCGGCTGTTGTTGGCTTTATTAATGAATAAAGCTGACGAAGATAATCATGTTGCAAGTAACATTATACCAGTGTCCGTTAATTTAATCCTGTAACGCGTCGGCTGTGTCTTAATTATGTCTAGGCCTCTACTTATCCTGGTTCGCATCGCGTACCTACGTTATAATAAGATTATGGGTACTAATCATTGAACTGTAAAGTAGTACCTACAAAAATGACGTAATGGGAATCAACACGCTTGTATTGTCAATGATGCATGTGAACGTATCTAGAGCTTTCCAGGGACTAAAGAGTTCGTATTATGATTCAAATAAATAAATTAGAATACTCAGTGTGACAGCAGTGCTGGTAATAATATGCAAATATTCCTGTAATTCTTTAGCGATCGCATCGAGCCGCACCCGGTGTGTGCTCGCCGCGATAAGTGCTGTGCTCGCGTGCTGTGCTGAAGGCTCGCGGGCAACAGGCGGCTGGCGATAAGGGCCTTATCAGCTCGCCGGGTGGTGCAATATGTGCGGATTATCTGCTGATATCGTGTCTTGCTAAGGGGACAATGATCCTTTAAGTGACTACTTATTATTTAGCTGTGTGCGTGTTAAAGTGTATACGCTTAATTTTTGTTATTAAAACTAACACCGCTTTACTGTTGTTTCATCATCGTCTAGAGAGCAGTAAAGCTGTTGAAATATACGAGTTACGACTTTTATCAGTAAGATCCTGCAGAAGTTTTTTTCTTGTTTAACAGATAAATCATTACAATATTATCGAGTAGAATGGCCGCGGTCCGTCGGCCAGGGGGTGAGGAGGGCGGCAGGGGGCGCGATCGAGCGTAACGCTTTGATTCCATTGTCCGTGACATTGATTGCTCTGTTCATGTCACCGATATCGACAGCGACAGCATTATGTTAGCTCGTTATAAACATAATACGAGTACAACTGTATTGTAGTGCTACTCGTATAGCCAGTTATCTAAACACTTCTTGAGGAGAGATTTTGTTTAGTGGCAGTTAAAGATTTTTGGCCACATTCACACAACATGTAAACATTGCTAACACATGCAAATTACTCATTACGTTATAGTAAGTAGTAGTAAGACATCGTACGCCAGCTGGTGCGGGTGTCGCGGTCGCGGTGCGTGCTGCAGGAAGCAGGTGAGCACCCCTCCGCCGCCGCTAACACAACGAGGTCAACTCGTTTGCATACAAGCAGTCGTTACTTTCACTCTTTATAGCTACGAACCCCTCGTTTTCATGATCTATTTAATTCAATGCAAATGATGGAACATTATTTACCTAATTGTAGAATAAGTTTATCCTCTCACTTAGGTGTCGTCAATCATGTTATCTACTATTTAATTGAATACTAAATACAAATGAATTTTCCAAGATATACTAATATCGTTTCCGCGTGAGGTCTGAGGGGAGTGAGGCGATGCTTTGGACGAGCACGTGCACGCAGCGGACATTGTGTGCGTTGTCTTTGCTGTTTGTCCGCGTGTACATACTGCTATAGATAAACTGAAGGGGACCGACGTTTAAATGTATTTCTTTTAATGAGAACGATTTCATTTCATGTGATACGTTTGCTATACCTACTAATACAACTAAAAACTAAAATGTTTCAACTAGAGGAAGTGTAGACTGAGAAGTGACTGTTGACTGAACTGGTAACCTTGTACCGGAGGGTTATTATACAGCCGGTATATCGCATGAAGTAATAAATAACATATAACGCAAGTCGCACATCATAAATATAAAGATAACTGAAAATAGTATAATGGTAAGACATAAAAAAGTCGTTCATTCAGCTTCAGAAGTAGTAATAACAATAAAACTTGAATGGAATCACTTCAAACGTCCGTCGCATATAGAGTTCAGACAGGGTGTTTATTGCCGGCCGAAAATATAGGGCAGTGGCGGCCATGGCCCATTGGTCCTATGGCACCACGGCCCCTCGGCCCCTCGGCACCAGGGCGCCGTTGTAGTAACGGGCCACCACGGTGACAACCGAACCCTTCGCGCACCCTTTCACAGATAGTGACGTCACACAAGTTGCACTGCAAATAAAAGCACTAACAAACGTTGTACACACGTTACGATTCCTCGTTTATAACTTCTATGATGTTTCTTTACAAAGTAGTGTTAAATTATAATGTTAGTAAAGTAATCATTATAATTTGTTGATCACATTTTAATAGTTATCATTAATTCTAATCAGTGCAGTGTAAGTTGTAAGAGGCAAGAATTTACAAAAGAAGGAAATCCTGTTTACGTGAACGATGAGAATTGTCCGGAGCGGTATGAGATGCGAGGAGCGAGGCGTGACCTCCCGTAACTGCTGCTTATCATAATTACCTGTACCTACGTGAACAAATTGATCCTGTTTACATAATGGCAGTTTTACCGCTGCCGAAACACTTGTAATCAAAATTTCTGTCGTCTGTAGTTTTTATGTAAAGTGGACAATAGAAACCGATACTTACACACTAGCACACGAGTCAACATGTTGAACAAGCAATAAACAAATAAGACAGTTCGTAAAAATAATTGTAACGAGTCTGTCGAATAAATACTGTATAGGTGAAAAATAGATTAGTAAGGCTAGGATAAGGATTTTTCTTAATTGAATCATTACTGGCGTCGCCGTAGCCGCGCGGCGTGAGAAAGCGTGCGACGCGATGCTAGAGGGGACGGTTGCCTCATCGAACACCTTTTTGTCTACAGACTACAGGCATTGTGTGCAAATTAGTGTGAACTTATCGCCTAGACTATTCGTAAGGTACCTAAGAGTTGACACATTGTTTCCACATACAGTCTTGAAAGAAAATTTTACGCGAATAGTACGAAAAAAGTGCTACTTCGATAAAGACAGAAGGGGATAGAGAATACAGCGTTTGTCGTAAATATATTTAGGAATACGTGACTTAGATTTTTTTATATTATTATTATATACATATAATTAAGGAAATAATTAAGGAAGACACTAAGTAAGTTCGACAGCTCGCATACAAAATGTTGTGGAACAATAATTCATACAGTTTTTGCTTTGGCGTTACTTTTCACTAATACAGTTTTCACGATTCGATGAAGCGTGTGTACATTGTAATGACGTCAATGTCGTTAGTTACACGCCGAAAGGTTTCAATTTCACTTAATATAACGGCTAGCGATAAACCACCGCTATACCTAAAGTAATTAGCTCCCCAGACGTTGTTACGTCACACTTTTTTGCACTAACTCATACAGAAGGTCTTTATTAACGTTTAAATTTTATATAAGAGTAAAAACGGACAGATGAATTTATAGACAACATTTGATACAAAAATATATGCAAATTAGTTGAACTAAACAATGTCAGAGCAGAGCAGCGGCGGCAGGTTTTGTATGAATGTGCCAGTCAGTTCGGAACACAATTAGTTGGTAACGTGTGACTACGTGCAATGCAGACTGATTACAAGCTGAGTGTCACAATCGGTCGCTGACACGCACACACCAGTGTCACTGGAATTTAAAATATTGGTAAAAATTATACCTTTGTTATACCTTTGTTTTATACGATATTTGATGGTAAAGTGAGCGACGAAGTCTCACAATATGTGACCGCACGAATAAAATTGTCGAGGAATAATTATAAAGTATAATTAGTTGGATTAACGGTATGGTAATTACCATATTAAAACAACAGTACAATAAATGTTACATTCGTGGTAAATACAGAATTAAATAGTGTTTGTGTTCTTTAATAATGTGAGTATGGTTGGTGGAGAGGCACGACTCTATGTGTTATCTCAAGCCGGGGAGAACTCTCGCTGTTTGTTAAATGGTCAGCGTCGACGTAGTTCTAGTTGTCAAGTAGCAACAAGTAGCTTAATGATCGACGCGTATATTTCCAACTATTAATTAGAAAATTAGTAAAGGTTCAAGTAATATATTATTTTAAACATATGAAGTAGAATTTTTTCTGCGACCTATTGACCAAATATAAGAACAAAAAACATAAGATGGAAAATATCAACGGAAACTCATACATAAGAAGAGCAGTATTTATACAGTGCGTTATTCAAAAAGAACAACTGAGCAACGTTATAAATTAATTACAATAAACATTACGAGCTCGCTCCACGCTCCTGAGACTTTGTGTGTACCGTTTGTTGGGAATTCACTTTAAATATTAATTTTTATATTAACACGTAAATCAAAGTGAAGAAAGGTGCCGAGTTTTCAATGTTGAAACTTAATGTATAAAAATATATTGGTATCTCTTTGAAAGCAACAGAGACTAATAAGACTAGGTAATATATTTTGCAAGTAATTACTGCGTTTTTATTTTATTTTCAAGTTGGAATAAATTCGTAAAGTTATCAATCTACTCCAACACGCATCGACCCAATAACTCTTTGAGTTAATTAAAAATAATCTAATAACCATCTTAAATAATTGCAATTTCGTGCGGACGATCGTCGCAATGGCTGCACTTCAAATTATTTATAATAAGCGGTATTTTTCAGTTTCCCCGCTGTTACACCCGCTACAACAACGACAGCTCCTAATATGCTCGGTTTACAACAATGGCATATATCGTTTGGTGGTCATGTTGGTAAATTTGATGTCGTGACGTCATCGCAGTGTGGTAGCGGTGATCACAAAATACTCTACAGTATCAAGGGAGTGTTGCAGAAGGGAGGCGCCGCCACTGACCGGGGCGTCATCTCGTCGCGCCGCCCGTTTCCTCGCAATTACTCCGCTGCGCAGCTCAACAGCTCGGCACATCATCCAATTAAGACAATTTACCCACGCGTGGTTAACGCGGCCGAGCCAAAACTTGGCAGACAATTGGTTTGAAGGAATTATTTTTATTTACTTACCAAATCGAAGTGGGGAATGTACATTGCAACACAATACAGAACCTTAGAAGCGAAACGAAAACTTCATCGTAGAGGTTTACGAGCGGATACACAGGGCGTTTTTAACCGAGAGCGTAAGGGGTGCGTGGCTGGCCCTGGGGGGCGACAGCCGGCAGACAGATTTCCACATTCGGGCGATCAACATGTTTAATACGTCCCTGAGGGCTGAGTGTACATCGTAGGTTCATTTTACTATTTTGTTCTTAACTGTTTTATGTAAGTGTGTTCTACTGTTTCCATTGTTTTGAAAACGGTTGTGTTATTATAATTAAATGATAATTACATTGAAAATATAATTGCAAAGTTATTTATAAATGAGCAGACCTTGTGATCATTGCTCCGAGGTCGCAATTGAACGAAGCAAGTTTTAATACAGTCTTGAAAACAATCCATACGTATTTTTGAACAGTTACAATTTTGTTAACACTACAACTAGTTACTACAACTTAAGTATCCTCTTTCAAGTTAAAGTTATAAATATGTTTGAAGTTATGCAACGTGTTTTGTTATTTTGTTTCTAGACACCCCAAGTACAGTCCTGTCGGACTACGCGCTGAGGTAGGAACGAGGTCTACATATATGATTTATTCCAAAATAATTTTAATGAATACTTTTGTGATGTCATCAATATTGTAACATAGTGTGCGTGTCGTCTCGTGTCGTGTGTCAGTGACGCGCGACGTAACAATAATAATTAATTATAATTGCGAACACTTAAAGATTGCCAAACTTTCTATATAATGATTTCAAGTCCACATACAAATGTATATTTTTTCTAATCCTGCCCTCCCCCCTATCCTGTCTATCTTAAGGAAATATTAAATCGCTGAACCGTTTTGTAAAAAAGCAGTCAAGTTCGTACAATTCAGTGATTATTTTACACACAAAATATGAATCCTGCACTGATAATTAAGGAGCCGGACACTTGTCATAGAACCATTCGCTCTGTTAACATTATACCTTATTAATAGTTTTTATGTTATTTTACGTATTATTGTTACATATTTTTAGACTTTTTCCACATTTGTTCGAAACTTAAACTAATTAGTAAAGTTAAATTATCATTACTCTTATAAAATTTAAAAAAAATTAACACTTTTCCCTTAACTGATATTTTAATTATCCTCCTTACATTGAAAGTAACAAGTTAAGAATTGAACTTACATAAAAATTCCAGATTTCACCGTAACCCCGGCCACAAAGCACTAAATGTCAAATCCACATGGCCCTAAATTTGCGATAATTATGTTCACATAATTTTTTGTAAACAAAATATTGTCGATTTAATATTGTGGAGCGAGTTGCGTACATGTAAACAAAGGGTGAAATAAAGTATCGCGAGCTGCAACGCGCGTGCGCGGACCCGGCGCCCGGCACACTAGCGCCGCACCGGCTCACTACTGTGACGTCACAGTTGCGCGCGCTTTCGCCCCACTTCGTCACGACTTCATCACAAGGAGGTTCCCGACTGGCCGACGAGCCATGCTATACATATCTGTGACGAGCAACATTTACAGATGCTTTTAACGGGCAGAAGAGATGTGCTGATAAAACGATTATTCCCTTTTCTATACATCCGTACCTCCGCTACATCCAATAAGGAAGGGGATCCAATCCTTTCCTTATGGTAAAATGTGGGAAATTTTAGACAAAAGTCAAAGTTTGGTTTTGTTGTTTATTTTCTTTTACTAGAAGCAAGAGATGAACTTCTAATGAATAACACAAAGCAATTTCGTTTAAAACTGATTTCAAGTATAAACTCAGCGCTAAAATAAATTCTTGATTGATTTTTTTAGTGATATTTTTTTTAATCATAAGGAAGTAAACGAGCAAACGTGCCACCAGCACCAGAATTCGCCGAAATAGCGAAGCGACCGCTGCTCATAGACATATGCAATTGTCAATGCTTTGTCTACCTTCTGTCGTAGTTTTCGGTTTTTAATATTTAAGTGAGGTATGTATCTATGGTCAAATTTATTTTATACTTCTGTTTGCGTCCAAAACAACTTTGTCCGAAAGTTGGACAACTCGAGCAACGCACAAGGATACGAGCGATGTCTCGCTACAGCGCCGGCTGTTAGGACGCAGCACAACTTCTATATATAACTTATATACTGGAAGTAATAAAAATATCGTTATTTTTTCATTTGTGTTTATTTTAGAGGCAATTTAGACACGTTACAAATACGGTACAAAAATATATTTCGTTCATTGATACATTATTAAATAGTCATCGAAAGACATTTAACAAATGTTGTTCCGCCGTTTGTGATTTGGCTGGTAACTCGTACACGATTACAATATTCACAAACTGACGTATTATAAAATTATAATACGTCAATTTGTAAAATGTTATGTCGATATCGACATTTTATTAAATATAACATAGGAACTATATCATATAATCGATCAAACGTTTCTTCTTAAAAACATAAAACTAACAAAACATGTGTTAACTAAACATTTGGATCCAACAATTTCACTTAATAGATAAAGAAAAACATTTGAAAATGAATTTTTGTAGTTCATTTCATTTAGTAGTGATGACATTATAGAGAAGCTAACATCTACCTCAGCGGGAACACTCGGACATACCTCTCCGGTCACCTCAGTCACCTCCACCGGATACATTCAGAGTGAACAAGTGTACAGTCTCAGCTCCGGGACTGCCTCCTTCTTACTTATACATTTTTAAACTTTCACAATTTTACATTTCTCTTATGGCTACTCTATTGTATGAATAACAAAACGATATGGATTTAATGTATTGAAACAATAGAGGGTACAATGAATACCGTTGTCAGGATGTGACCGGTTTTAGTAGGAGTGTATGGTGGGGGTGGTGGGAGTGGTGGGGGTGGTGGGGGGCGAGTGTCGGGGGTCGGGGTGGTCCTCCTGTATGTACTCGTAGGCGAGCTTGAGCGCGAAGTGGAAGCGGGGGTCGCGGGCGCGGGCAGCTAGGCGCGGCGACCCCTCCAGCGCGGCGAGCAGCGCGCCCAGCGGCGGCAAGCTGGCCCGCACCTCGCCGCCTGCAACACGCACCGTGCATCTCACTTTGTTACACACTGCTGCTTACCCACTAATAGTAATAATAAAAGTAAATAAACTGTGATCGGCGAGAAGGTAAGAAGGCAAAGCGTACCCATGAGGTGCACGAGGTCTGCGAGGCGGTAGAGTGCGGTGTCTCTCAGCGCGCCCGCCGCCGCCTCGGAGGCCAGCTCCTCCCAGCGCGTCCGCAGCGCACACGCGCACCACACCTGCACACACAGCACACCTCAGCACACCTCAGCACGAGCTGACACCGGACACCCGACACCCGACAGCCGGGTGTGTGCCTACCTGCAGGCTGAGCTCCTCGCGCAGCTCCGGCTCCTCGATGAAGTCGGTGAGGTCGAGCGCCTTCTTGTAGTCGTACTCGGTCAGCGTCTCGCTCTCCGACTCTATGTACAGCTGCGGACAATATATATATGTTACATGAACAGATTGGAGAGTGGGGGGAGTGGGGGGAGTGCGGGCGGGGCCTCACCTGCAGCAGACGCCGGGCGCCGAGCAGCGGGCAGTCAGTGTCCCCGGCTGGTGCGGGTGCTGGTGCTGGTGCTGATGCAAGCGGGCGCAGGGCGGCGGGCAGCGCGCGGTGGTGCTCGCACAGGCTGAGCTGCGCCTCCGCCTCGCGTAGTGCGCCCTCCTCCGCGCCCTCCTCCTCGCTCGCCAGCAGGCACAGCTTGGCCAGCGACGCGATCGTCTGACACACACGTTGCTGCCTACAGCACTACTTGTAGGCTGCGCTACTGTAGCTTACACTTTAGTTCACACAACTCGCCCACATCTACATTTTAGCTGCGTTCAGTGATACGATATATATTAATGAGCACATGAAATAGTTTAAAACGAGCAATAGTCGTTTATATAGTTTTTATATTGTTTTAACGACGGAGAGGTTTGAGGTAAAGTTTGTGAGAAGAAGAAGAAGAAGACGTGAGGTATACCGTGGTGCGGTTGAGAGTGGGCGGCGGCGCGTGCGTGCGGTGGGCGGGGGCGAGCAGGGCGAGCAGGGCGGCGGCGGCGGGCGCGGGGCGGCGGCGCGCCAGCAGGTGCAGCGCGCGCAGCTGGGCCCGCTCGGGGCGCGCGGCCAGCCAGCGCGCCAGGCGGTCGGGCTCGCGCGCGCCCACCTCGCGCACCAGCAGCGCGCGCCGCTCCCCGCCGCCCGACGCCAGCCACGCGAACGCTATCTCAGCCACGCCCTGCACGATCATATTCAACCGGTCATTTAAACTAAACCGTACCGTGTAGTTACAAGAGGGTACAATTTACGAGTCCCGACTGCGTGGGCATGTTTTGCGTATCGTCTCGAGCGTTTGCATAACTTTCATGGTTACTGTTCTGTAGACTGACGGCGATGAGGTGTAAGGACCGACCTGGTCGGCGTATTTCTCCATGTAGGTGTGCAGGCGCGGCAGGTCGCCGTCCCGCACGCACAGCTGCACCAGCAGCTCCAGGTCCTGGAACTTCTCCGCCAGCGCGGCCGCGCGCTGCGTCTGCCCCGCCTCCGCTGCGCCGACACCACAACATTACTACATCTTTCGAGGGCGAG